CACTCTCTCTCTCTCTCTCTCTCTCTCTCTCTCTCTCTCTCTCTCTCTCTGGGCCTTTAGCCCTTCCAAACTCAACTGGGGCCCAGACACCTTCCGGCCTCACCCCCAGGCCCAGTCAGACTAAGGGCGGCTCACAGTAGATCCCAGATGCTGGCCAGAAGCAGGTGGGCAGGTACCAGTGCACCAGTATCAAAACCCCACGCACTCACGCCACAGAGCTCTGGAGGTCACCAAGCTGAGCCCCTTCCGTGAACTCCAGGCCCATGCCTCGTCCGCACCATCCGAGTTTCTGTCTCTTTTCCTTGTGGTATCAAGGCTTCGGCCATCACCATCGCTCACACCATCTGCTCAGGGAACTAAGAGGGAAAGCTGGGCGCCCACCATGCCGGGCCAGGGGCGCAGCAATACACAACGCAAACGCACGCGGTTCAGGGAGAGGTTACACAGGGAGAAGAGAGAATGCGAGAGAAAGAAGGGATAGGAGGAGCCACACATGAGATAGGGCTTGCCACGACATCTGAAGCACTAACGGCATTTGGGGGACCGCCTGGGACCCCGACGCGCTTTCTTCCCGCGGGTAGACTTGGGGACAGCTGCTGGCTGTCCCTTGGCTTCGCCGGCCCTGGCACGGGGCCCGGTGCCTGTGGATCCCTTCTTCTTCTTGTTCCCCGCGTGTTCCTCGGTGGAAACTCCACTCCCGGCTTTCTTCTCTGGAGTGACGCCCCGGCCGCGGCCTCGGCCACCCCTTCGGGTTTTGCGTGCCCGGGATGCGGTGGGGACCGCGGCTGAGCCGGCCGGAGGAAGGCTCTTGGAGCCGGTGCGCGCCCTCTTGGCCCGGGGCTTCTTGGATGCGCTACCATCAGGCTCTGACTCCTCGCTGTCGGTGTCCTCGGACTCCTCCTCAGACTCTGCATCCGAGCCCTCCTCCGATTCCTCGTTGGATTCTAGATTCTCTTGCGAGGCCAGGAAAGCCAGGACCTCGGATAAACCGCCTTGGCTGTGGTCACACTTCCTGCCGCCGCCGCCGCCACCGCTACCGCCACCACCCCACCTGCTGGCTTCTTCCTCCCTCACCGAATCCACCATGTCTTGCGCAGCCAAGAGGGCCACCAGCTCCAGGAGGCCACCCTGGTGACCCTCCGCACTCCAGCCTCTGAGGAGGCCCAGTCCAGACTTCTTTCCCTTAGGACAGTTCTCTGCTTCGGCCAAGGTAGAAATGCATTCGAGAAGGTTCCCATCTTCCTCTGCCTTCCTCAGCACCATGGCATCCACCTGGCGGCCTGCTTCCTCCACCTTGACTCGGGTTCCGGATGTGTCCTTGGCCATGACAGATAAGACTTGGGGAAGAATATCTTTTTTGTCTTTTTTATCACTCCAGCCCAGGGTCTCGATGACAGAAGCGATTTTTAGCATCTCTTCCCGAGCTGAGGGGTCAGAGGGGTCAGTGTAAGCCACGATGGCCACAAACTCTGGGTTGTCCACCCCCTCTTTTTCTAGCTCTTCGTCTTCCAATGACTCAGTCTCTGAATCCTCCTCACTATCTATCTCAAAGGCTGGGGTGTCTCTCACAGCCAGGAGCGCCACTAAATCGGGGACACTGCTCTTTTCATCTTTGACATTTAAGCAGATGGACTCTGTCCCAGGAAGGTGTTTTTCTATCTCCTCCTTCTTAGCTTTGTCCGTGACAGTGACCAGAGCCAAAAACTCTCGGGGTCCATCACCTTCATCCTGGTCGCCCCACTTCTTGGTGAGCTCCTTGGCAGCCGCTTGAAGCGTGGCATACAGGGCCCTCTGATCCTCATCTACACTCAGGTCATCAGCATAGATCTCTTCTATCACGATCCCCAGGCTGTCATCCGAAGAGTCTTCAGACTGGCTCCTGGCTCGACGCCCTCCCCGGCCCCTCTTCTTACCCTTTTGGGCCAACCTGTGGCTTCTAGATCGGTGCTTGCCTCCTCTACGGCCCCTACGGCCATTCTTGGGAGCCCCTTCAAAGGGGCCAGCCTTCTTGGCATCCTTCCCCAACCCCTGGGCCTGGGCCTGGGCCTCCAAAACCAGAGGGATGGCTATTTCTCTAAAGTCATCCATGGGCCTTTCATCCAGCAACAGGCGCCTCATCTGCCTGAGGACCCGTGCATCCTGCCCCCGGTCCTTGCTCAGAACCCTCCAGACCCCATGATCTCCCCGAATCTCGCTGGGGATGGCAGAGTGATCAATATCCTCCCCAAACTCCACCAGGGCAGCCTGGGCCTTCTCCTTGGTCACAGCTCTCACAGTCCGAAGCCTGAAGCCGCCCAGGGTTTGCAAGTTCTGACGCAGGGTGGCCTCGATGTCCGCCTGCTGTAGGCGTTCGGGGATGCCGCTGACCAGCAGGGCCCTGTGCACCTCCACCGCCAGCTCCTTGCACCAATCTTGCAAAAGGTTCATGGCCATGGCGCTGCCCAGTGGAGTCTAATCTTGGGAAAGGAGAGAGAATCCGAGGAAGGGGTTAGGCTTGCAGCACACACACTGGGCCAATCCCACCCTGGAAGGCCACCTGCAGGGTTAGAGTTCAAGTTCAGGGTTGGGGGGGCTCCGGGTTTGGGTTCTAGCTATCCCTTGGCTACCAGGCCTCCAGGATCTTCCCCCAGGGCAATCCGAGGACCCGCACCGGGACTTACGACTTACGTGTCAGATCTTCTGACTGGCCGGGATTGCTGCCTTTTGTCCCTGACAGCCTAGGTTGCCTGGACGCCGCTGCTAGGGTGCAGGATCCGGAGGACCGACGCACCTGCAGGGCGTGGGGGATGGGAGCGGCCGCTCTCCTGGCGCTCCCGGGGAGTCTGAACAGTGCACCCGGGTCTGGGTCTAGACGCTCAGCGGGGCCGCTGCGACGCGGCTCTTTGAGCCCGCGCCTGCGCAGACGAGCCCCCCCCATCTCGGTCTCCATAGTAACACTGCAGGCAGCAGCTGGGGTCTGCCAGGCAAAGATCGTAGCAGCTGCTCTTAAAGGGCCAGGTGGGAAGAAGGGCTTGGGGACTAATGGGTAATACACAAGACCAAATTTAGCAGGAGACCAGACATCACTGAGGGAAACAGGTCTTGAGTGGATAGAGACCCCCTGACTGGATAGAGACCTTTGAAAGCATATGGGTCTGGGTTATGTTTGGTTGGGTTTTGGTTTTGGAGGTGGGTCTCAGGTAGACCAGGCTAGCCTTGAACCTCTGATCCTCCTGCCTCCCCCTCCTAACTACTGAGATTACAGGCCCTTGCAACACTACACCTGGATTATCTGGGGTATTTTATGTTGTTTATTTTTATTTTATGTGTATGAGTGTTTTGCCTGCATGTATATAAGTGTACCCATGGGAGCAATGTCCATGGAGGCCAGAAGAGGGTGTTGGATCCCCTGGAATTGGAGTTTAAGGACAGACGGTTGTTAGCTGCCATCAGTCAAGGACAGCTTGGCCCACTATGAGCTGAGGGCATCATTCAGGGTATGTGGGACTCAGCTAGGGGGTACCAACTCACCAAGCAGGACCATGCCTCGTTCACGGGTGTTCTTGCACTCCTTTTTTAAAGACAGGATTTCACTTTGTAGCCCAGGCTGGCCTCAAAGTCTGTGCAATTCTCCAGCCTCAGCCTCCCAAGTCCTGGAATCACAAATGGGAATCACCATACCCAGATCTTCCACATTCTTTATTAGTATGTGTGAGCATATGGTGAGTGTGTGTGTGTGTGTGTGTGTGTGTGTGTGTGTGTGCGCGCGCGCGCCATGCCTGTGCCACAGCACCCATATGGAGGTCAGAGAACAACTTTCTGGAGTCAATTCTCTCCTTCCACCATGTGAGTCCTGAGACTCAAACTCAGGTGGTCAGGCTTGGTGGCAAGCCCCTTTACCCACTGAGCCATCTTGCTGGCCCAGTCCTTTAAAGGACCTTCAGCTGTCTGCTCCCCCCCACTGTATGTAGTCTAATTGTCCAACTGCTAAATTTATATCCTTTCCTTACTGCTTTCCCTGCTGCTGAGAATCTTCTAGAGCTTTTCCAGGTCTGTTTGCTCTTCTGTGAAATGGTGACAGCCACTGTCCCTCCTTCAAAAGGTTCTCATGGGAACCCTAAAGGGGCTAACTACACAGAGCTATTGGGAGAGAGGCTGGATCTCAGCTGTCCCTCTTTGAACAATGGTTATTCATATTGTTTATTGAGACTTACCGTTATATAAGCATCTGTTAAATAATAAATAAACAGAACAAAACCACCTCCAGTTCCCGTGGCTCTCCTTTTTCTTTTTACATAGAGGGTTGATGGCACAGTTGCCATGGTAACCGGGTCGTGAGCAAGCACTTACCTCTTTTATTTTCCCTGCTTTTCTCTTCTTTAATCTTCCTGATCCTAAAATGGATGTCCCTCGCTTTTCGAGAGCAGTGTCACTAGACTGAGACGCCACACCAGTCTCAAATGCAAAATGCTTGCGTGATGCGACATTTTCCGGTGGCCATCATTAATTAATAAAAAGCAGAAGTGAATTTTTTATTAGATTTTTATCTGCACTGCAATACTCAGTGTGGTCTCCACATGGGCTTGGGCTTTTTTAAAAAAATGGTACTGCATTTATTTGGTGGTGGTGGTGGTGGTGTGTGTGTGTGTGTGTGTGTGTGTGTGTGTGTGTGTATACATGCTGACCATGGCACACATGTGGAGGTCAGAGGACAACTTGAAAGAATCGATTGGTTCTCTCCTTCCACCAGGTAGGACCCCAGGATTGAACTCAGATGATCAGGTTTTTTGGCAGACACTTTCATCCGCCGAGCCATCTCGCAAGCCCTGGCTTAGTTTTTATTTGTCTGTTTTGAGACAGAGTATCACTCCATAGTAGCTCAGTTTGGCTCAAACTCTCAGCAATCCTCCTGTCTCAGCCTACTACTGATTATATAAACTGACCCACCACACCTGGCTGTATAAAGCCTTGTCCCTGTGCACGTGTCATTATATAAAGCAATAAATGGGCCATTGTGTATTCTTTTTTCATAATGGCTCTTTGGAACAAATTCCAAAGGCTCAGCAACCTCAAATGGCCACCGGGAATTCACACTGAAGAATTCATTAGGGATGTGTGCCTGTGAACATGTCAGGCTCACGTGTTATTTATAGCCCTGAGTGACAGGCCCTAAGGGACAAAAGGAGGAAAGGCGGTTGTTGTTCTCACTGGTCTGGTGTGGATGGTCCTGGGTAAAGCTCTCATGAAAAAGAACACTTATGTACCACATAATGAGTTTGATTCAGGGCAGGTGAGATAGTTTAGCAGGTAGAGGTCTTGCAGCCAAGCCTGAGGACCTGAGTTCGATCCCCCTAACCCATGGTGGGAAACTCAACTTCTGAAAGTTGTCCTCACTTATACATATATGTGGCAGGCACTCATGCATGTGCACACATCCACCTACTGACAGACATATACACAATAACAGTAATAAATTTTAAATGTTTAAATTTTTTTTTTTTACTTTTTCGTATTTTTGAGACAGGGTCTCCCTATAGCCCTAGCTGGCCTGGAACTCACTCTGTAGACCAGGCTGGCCTTGAACTCAACAGAGATCTGCCTGCCTCTGCCTCCCGAGTGCTGGGATTAAAGGTGAGTGCCACCACACCTGGCTAAAATGTTTAAATTTTAAAAATGTGCTAGCAAGATGGTTCAACAGGTAAAGGCGTTTGCCATCAGGCCTGATGACCGGATGGTGGGAAGAAAGAACTGATTCCCACAAGTTGTCCTCTGAGTTCTACTCCTATGCCATGGAATATGCACACCCTCCCATATATACTCTAAATAAACACATAAATGTAATAACGATTTTAATTAAAAGAATAAAGTGTACGACTGACTGCCAAAGAAGACGGCACACGTCTGCCGATCTGAGCTGCCTAGTGTGCTCTCCCCGTGTCAAAGGGGGGGGCTGGAGAGGTGGCTCAGCGGTTAAGAGCACTGACTGCTCTTGCAGAGGACTGGGTTCGGTTCCCAGCACCCACATGGCAGCTAACAATTGTCTGTAACTCCAGTTCCAGAGGCTCTGACACCCTCTTCTGTCCTCTGAGGGCATGGCACACAATTGCACAACATGGGTGCACTTGTATACATGCAGGCAAAGCACTCACACACATAAAATAAAAATTAAAAATAGAGGCTGGAGAGATGGCTCAGTGGTTAAGAGCACTGGCTGTTCTTGCAAAGGACCAGCACTCACATGGTGACTAACAACTACCCATAATTCCAGTTCCAGGGGATCCAACGCCCTCTTCTGACCTCTGCAGTCATTGCATGACATGGGTGCACTTACACATATGCAGGGAATACACTTATACATAAAATAAAAATAATAACTATTTTTAAGAAAAAAACTGTGGCAATGGTTGTACACTGTGTGAACATACTAAAAGCTTTTGAAATATGTTGTTTTGGTTGAGGGGCATTGAGACAAAGTCTCACTACACAGCCCTGACTAGTCTAGAATCCTCCTGCCCCTGCTTCCCAAGTGCTGGGATTGCAACTATGCACAGCTATGTCCAGCCTAAACAAGTAAATTTTTAAAAATTATTTTGTTTTATGAACCAGAGGTGGTGGCATATGCCTTTGATCCCAGCACTTTTGTTTTGTGTTGTTTCATTTTTCTTATTTATTTTGGTTGAGCACTAGACACTCAGAAACTAGCAAAAGGTAGATTATGTTATTCAGGAAGCAGAGGGTCGCCAGGTGTGGTGATGTCCCAGTATTTGGGAGGCAGAGGCAAGTGGATCACTGTGAGTTTGAGGCCAGCCTGGTCTACATAGGAGTTCTAGGAGAGCCAGGGCTACAGGTCTAAAAAGAAGAAGAGGAGGATGAGAAGAAGGCGGGGGAGAAGAAGGGGAGAGGGAGGACTGGAAGGAGAGAGGAAAAGAGGAGGAGAGGAGGGAGAGAGGGAGGCCAAAGAGGAGGAGGATCCTCTTGGTGCAGGTGCTCCAGGACTCAGGATGAGGATAGACTTCGAACCCTGAACCCTGTAAGCAGAAGATTAAGTGGAAACCAGACAGGTAGGACATCTAGAGCCCCCAGCAAGAGATCCGGAGCCCCCAGTTCCTGCCTAGCCACTCTGGACACAAGAAGGACCCGTGATTGGCCTATCAGCTGCCTCTGAGGTTTCCATGGAAACAGCTGGACAGAAAGGTCTTATGAAATGTCTTATGAAATCCTTTCCTTATTTCTGTGTTTGAGAGAGGAAAAAAACAAACTGTGTCTGAGGCCACAGTCCTAGCATGATGACACACACCTGTCACCCCCACCCAGCACTCAGGAAGGCCTGAGGACCAGGAATTCAAGGCCCGTCCTGGCTCAGTTCCAGGCCAGCCTCAGCTTCAGGAGACTCAGTCTTTAAAGAAAAGGGGAGGGGTGCTGGGGAGATGGGTCAGCAAGGTGCATAGGGACCAGAATTTGGTCCCCAGAACCCATATAAAAGCAGTGCCTACTTGGAACCCTAGTGCTGAGGAAGCAACGATGACCTGAAGACCTCTAGGGCTCGCCGGCCAGCCAATCTAGCTGAATCATGGAGCTCCAGCTTCAATGAAAGACATTATATCAAAACTCAAAGTGGAGAAGGTGCTGGAGAGATGGTTCAGCAGTTAGGAGCACCAGCTGTTTTTGCAGTGGACCAGGGTTCAAGTCCCAGCAACCACATAGTGTGGCCAACAACCGTAACTGTAACTCCAGTTCCAGGGGAATCCAATGCTTTTTTCTGACCTCCAGTGGGTATTGCAAGACACAGGTGCATGTAGGCAAACCACTCATATACATAAAATAAAAATAATAAATAAAATATTAAAAAATAAGGTGAAGGGCCATCAAGGTGACTTAGCAGCTAAAGGGGCTTGCTACCAAGCCTGAGGACCTGAGTTCGATCCTTGGGGTCCACTTGTAGAAGGAGAGA